CACAATAGGGATAAGTATGAAATGAACGAATTTTCCAAATATTGGCATAGGATGACACGGCACATACTACGCGGACATGCCATTGTAGGCCTAACCACTGTTCAAACGGCTGAGATGGCTGAGATGGCCGAGTGGTTATGATTTTCCGAGCAATCCCAAAGGTACCTCCCCATACAAAATTGGATGAAACAGTACATGGTGGCCGAGTGGTTCAGCTCGCGTTGCTGGACTACCAACATGGCCCCATTGCTCCGAGTTCTCTCTGATCCTTAAATATTCCAGTTAAATTGTGCGGAGGCCTGATTATCTATGTGCCTATATCTTTTCATTTCCGGAAATACGATGCTCGCTGACATTACTCTCAGATTTCATTGTCTGTATAACCAGCATTAACTTTTTGCTCAAAGTGTAATCCGCTCACTTTGGATATCTTGTAGTCAATTATGCTCATCAGTAGGAATTGAGACCTTGATGAATGACGTCAGCCACATGGACATCGTCACTGAAAACAGTAATAAAGAACTCTTGGCCTCGTTGCTGTATAGGATGCGCACTACTGACATGCATACTGGTATACATAACTCTTGAGTGGTATCCACCTCGAGTATCACAGATAGACACTGATGGTCGTGGTGTTAAATATTATGTCAATTCGGTAAGGCTGCGGAGCTACAGCCCACCCAAAAGAGGACCCGTAGGGCTTACAGCCTCATAGCCTTAGTTACCTAAACTATGTCTCCAGCTCCAAAAGCTCAAGGCAACAACTTACGTAGCTCGTTCAATTTTGTATTCTTCTTCCCTACCTCTATATTCTTTCTTTTGCCATCCCCGAACTTCGATTGCCCCGGGACATTCCTGTCAGACGGACTCATTCCCCGATCATCATCCCTGCGGCTGGCCGTTGTCTCTTTGACGGACCCGTGGTCGCGTGAAGAGCTCTTGCTTCCCCACCCCGCACCGCGAGCTCTGAAGTAGCTGCTCACGTTAGACGATAAGATATTCTTCTTCAATACTACACCTTGAAAGTTTTCGCGATAAAGTATCCCTGTATCCTGTCAACCTATCAAGGATTTTCCGAACACCAGTCTATCCAAAATGTTTGGGATCATCGCGGACTTGATGTCGTAAGTACTCTGACTCTGGTAGTCTCGGGGAAAATGCGGGCACCAGACACCTCAGTGGTCGTCCCTCAATACATATGACCATTAAGTCCAAGCTAACGTTTTTCGATCATTATCATATTTCAGCTCGGTGATTACGATCCTCTTCCCTGTATTTGCCTCTTACAAAGCTTTGCGCTCCTCCGATCCGTCACAGCTGGCACCATGGTTGATGTACTGGGTGGTCCTCTCGGGTATTTTGCTCGCTGAATCATGGACAATTTTCATCCTGGGCTGGTAAGAAAGACACCTCCGGATGAAACGGAACAACGAAGGCAAGGCTGATCTGCTATAGGGTCCCCTTCTACAGCTGGTTTCGGCTGTTTTTCTTTTCCTATCTAGTACTTCCTCAGACGCAGGGCGCAAAGATCCTGTACCAGACCTATGTTGACCCCTTCCTGGAACACCACGAACGAGAGATTGAAGTGTTTATTGGCCGCTTCCATGAACAGGCCAAAGCCCTTGGGCTTCAATATTTCTATCAGGCCATCGATTACATCCGCGAGAAGATTCTGAGATTGCCAGGTCAACACCCTGCCCCTCCACCTCCGCCAACCGGCCCGGCTGGATATGCGCAATCGCTCCTCTCTCGATTCAACATCCCTACCGTTGCTGGCGGAGCGCAACAAGGCCCTGCCAATGATTGGTACTCTACGATCAGCTCTGCTGTGGCAGCGATGACTTCCGCGGGTAAAAGCCATGAAGCGCGGGCTGAAGAGTTGTCTGCCAGCGGGAACCTCTTGCCGCGAGAACTCGCTGGAATGTCCCGCGCGGAAAAGGCTAGTTTCATTTCCAAGCAGCGCGACTTGATTGAGGTGTTGCGCGCCGCATTGGCCAAGGAAGAGAGTAACCTCGATAGCGGCGATGTGGACGACGACCTTGCATATGGCTCCTCTCTGAGAAAGAATCGCAGCGACAACTCGTTTGACCATATCAATCCAGAAGACATTCGTGATCGGTCTCCGGCGAGACCGGAAAGATCGTCCAGTGGCAAATGGGCGTCGGGATGGTTTGGCAGTGGAGAGCCAGCTGCTTCCTCCAGCGTGGAGGCCATTCCACGCGCAGCTGACGACGTTCCGCGGTCAAGGGGATCCCATAATTAGACCATGTGTCACTGAGTGGTGGCTTCGTGCTATGGGAGTATAGTCTATAGATAGACTGGCCAGGGTATCTAGACTCGTAGGCATAAAAGACAATGAATTGCGATCAGTTCAGTTGAATGGGCTTTATGGTGAATATGCCTTGCCGCAGTATCTTGCATTGGTTGATAGCCGTGCTAAGCGCTGAAGTAACAGCGCCGCAAACAACTTATAAGTACCCATCTTCAGCAACAACAACCAGTCTTGTACCATGGATCGACCTGCTCGTTAGATCAACCTTGACTCACAGGAGACTTGGATTCTTCGAACGCTTCCTCTTCTGCATCTCATCTGGCATCTAAAGACACGAATGATGTACTCTCAAGTGCTTGAAAGGCTGCACCAGGTCGCAGCACATCTCACTCCTAGCATCGACACTATTTTCAATACCCCAGGAACGCTCGTTGAGCTCACGAAGCAAAACATCCCGCTCCCAACTGCTCTTGAGCTTCATGATCTTCCTAGGGAGATCGCAACCAACATCGCACAGAATCCACTCCGTGCCGTTTCAATCGGTATCTTCGCATTCCCTGAGGCGGTTATCTCCCCTCTTCTGTACCTCACAGGATTTGGATCTTTGGGTCCTATTGCTCGTATGTACCTTCCTCACCCTCATTCGTTCGGATGCCGATGGTTAACTCATTGCTAGATTCCCTCGCGGCGTGGTATCAAGCCTCCTTTGGCAATCCGGTGGCAGGGGGTCTCTTTGCACACTTAGAAAGCGCGGCGATGGGTGGCTATGGACTGGGTGTTTTGAGCACTGCTCTTCGTGGGGTAGTGGGTGTGGCTACTGGAGTGCGGATGGCTTTGGGGAAGGGGAATGGGTCTTTGGCAGGTTAAGGCGGTATAGTGACTTGCGCAAAGATCATGTTCATGGATTTGACATGTGGTTGGCAGATATCTACCTTCTAATATCTATCACTATCAGGTATCTTTCCTACGAGGATAGACGGCTTGGGTGGATCTACGGGGAGGTGGTTTCCGGACCAACCAAATAAATAAATAAAGGACTGGAGGTGTTTGTGTGCTCAGATACTATGATCATGTCCTGTCCTGTCTGTAACTGGATTGAAATTGAAGAGTACCAAGAGAGCAAGTTCAGTAGGAACTTTTCTAGAATACTCATGGGAGGACAAAGATGATTCGCCATGCCAATCGACATGCAAAATGCAAGGAAGGTACGGGTGTGGCCATCATGCGATATGGCACTATTGAAACATCTACCTGAACATGCCGCTCATTGCATGGGTATCCTCAAGCGGAAGCTGTAGCTAGTTGGGCACAGAGGTATAATTCCCGAGTTTTGTCAATACCCACTTTCTCATTTATTTCATCACAAGTACTTGTACTTCGTACTCCGTAGACAGTTCTGTATGGATACTTGTGGATAGTAGTGGTGGCAAAGATGCCTCAGGTATCAATCTTCAAGACGCTAATGATCTCATCTTGACTTGCCTTGTTTTATGACTGGAAGAACACTATGGAAATTCTGCCTGTCATAGTCCAATCCATTTAGGCATCATTGTCCTGCAGTGAGTCACTTGCTGATGTGTTGTGTCTATGCCTCTGCGCCTCATGAAGAGTCGGACAGAATCCAGTTATGTGGATAGATACTGCGTAGATACCGTCTGGTCATACTCATGTTAGCAGTCTATCACTTACCTTCACCTGGGTATTATTCGATTGCTGATTGCTTATTCGTTGCCCATACCTAAGGTAGTTGTTTTCGCCGCCGTAACCCGAAGACGCGACCAGTCAGCAATGGCACTGACATCCTCACCCCGTCCCGAAAGGGTAAAGTAGGAACTTAACCTAGGGAGGGTTCCGTCGGTTTAATCCACCATGGATAACCAGCTCTTTTTCCCTTTACCTTCTTGTTTCAGCAAACATTCATTCTGGATGTGAGGTTTTTGATCATTTTAGAGAAGGAGAATACTAAGTAATCGAGTAGAATAAAAAAGAATAAATGTTGTAGTTGAAGGTGGTGATTGCTTTGTTGAAAATTGTCAGGCTCGTTTGTGTTTCCGCCTAGGCGCTTCACCTTTTTCCCTTAATTAAATTTTTTTTTTTTTTTTTTTTTTTTTTTTTTTTGGTTGAACTTGCCTTTCAAATTTTTTTGTGCTCGCCGCACTGAGGGAAGGGGAAGGGAGAAAAAATAGACAGCAGACAGCGACACAGACAGGCGTAGTAGAGCACCCAAACAGGAAGAGTAGCCCCCTCTCTTTCTTGTGCGCGTAGATGAATATTATTATTAACCACTTGGAAAGGTAGATACCGATTTTATCGCGGTTGCGTTTTCTCCCTTTCTTTCCTCCTTCCTCCTTACCCCATATCCCAACTCGTCGTAGTCCAACGACGTCTTTTTCTTTTTCGTTTTTCTTTGTCCTGCCTAATTTTTTTTCCCGGTGGCAGTGTACTACTCACCTTTCTCACCTACCTACTCTTACCTCCCCCCATCTCCCTTTCCCTTCCACCGGACGACCTCTCCGTTCAGTGTGGGAGTTCGAGAACGAATAAAAATAATAATACTACTATTTCGCTAGTAGTATTAGTCCCCTAGAAGTATTCTTGCTTCTTTTAATGCGGAATCTGGAGCGCGTTCCGATTCTGCTTCTCACAACTTGACATCACACGAATACCCACACGCACACAAAAAAAAGCGCATTTAGGAAAAACTTCCTTTCTCCCATTAACCTGTCTAATGACCTCGATCCCTCAAAAGTCAGGCCTTCAACCTCAAGGACAGAGCACCTCGACTCAGGCCGCTTCGTCACACTCGCCTTCCCCGTCGCTCAGTGGGAAGACCTCACCCTTGCCTGCTCCTACCTCGACGGCCGCCAGGTCCTACGCCAGCGCCACCAAAAAGTCCGCGACGGACTCGACCGCCGCTCCCGTCACCGTGGGTGGCCCTTCGCAACATGGGAAGTCGACCTCAGTATCTCCTGTGAGCGGCAAACCCATGCAACAACCTTCCCAGTCCCCCGGCGTCACCATCGTCAATGGCGCCCCGGCCGCCGCCTCGCAAGGCGACCATTCGAGAAAGCCCTCGGTGACCATCACTTCGGCCGGTACCTCTGGCTTCATCCCCAACGGTGGCCCTGCCAGTCGTCCCAATAGCCTTCAGTTCGGTTTCGCCAACTCGCAGAGCTCTCCCAACATGGGAAATCCGGCCGTTCTGGCGACCCAGCCTCAGTCGGGCTTGGGTGTATCCCCGTCGATGAACCCCCGTGTTACGTCTCCTCAGACCTCCCCTTCGCCTATCCCGCAGCCTGCCTCGAGCGGTGGTCGGCCGCCACCATCGTCCTACCAGTCACAGGGAAATGTGCCCAACTTTGGAAGTTTTGGAGATGCGGGCGATGCGAACGTAAGTCATGGCATTTCTTTTTGACGCAGATCGGAAAAGAGGAGGACACATCCCTGCGGCGTATCTGCAAAATATGATGCAAGAGTTCGTGCTTACTTTCTTCTCCTCGCAGATGCGCTCCGGTCCCCAAGCTCCCCTTGGCCCTGGTTCTCAGTCGACCCATCTCCGCCGCGAATCCTCCCAGTCCACGCACAGTGATATGAGCAACCACATGGGAAGCGGTCCTGGACGCGGCGGTTACCCTCACCAGGGTGGACGCGGTCGCGGATACTCACAGTCCGGTTACCAAGGACAGATGCCCTACTCACCTGGGCCCAGCTTCCGGTCCCCCAACCAGCCCCGAGGTGGCCCCAACATGGGCCCTCAGTTCCACGCTCCTAACCAGGGACGGCCTCTGGCGCCCTTTCCCAACTCGCCACACCAGCGCAGCCCGGCTCTGGCGACCGCGCACCCTGCTACGCCTCAAATGAACCAGGTCCCGATGGCCCATCCCCAGATGCCTCCTCAGCCCTACGCCGCCTACGGACAACATATGGCCCCGCAAACAGTGAGACACCACCCTTCTGTTTATAAACCCCCCCGTCGTGGTCCATTTCCGAAGAGGAGACAAGGATCCCGTCGTTTCTCTTCGTCTTCCTCCTCGAGCCTCCCTCTTGCACATACTTCCCCTCCCCCTCTCCATCTCCCCCCTCCAAATCTCGCGCCGGAAAGCGGTCAGTTTGAACATTATCTGACGCTGATGAAAAACCCTCAGGCTTATCCCTATGACCCCAACTACGCTTATTACAATCCCGCCTATGGAATGCAGCAGATGCAGTACATGACTCCCCCTTCGCCACAGCCACGGCCCGGCATGCCGTATAACCCGCAGGCGCCCTACATGCAGAACCAGTACCCGGTTCAGCCTCCTCCCCAGACCGCTCCCCTGTCGCGCACGCCGTCTCAGGTGTCGAACGACCGTCCAGGTTCCAGCCTGGGCCAGGGCCAGCCTCCTGCAGGTGCCCCGGCGGCCAGCCACGCTCACACGGCCAGCAGATCCTCCAACAGCCCTGCGCCGCCTAAGCCCCAGTTCGTCATTCCTCCCACCAAGCGGAGCCCCATTGTCATCAAGGACCCCGGTAGTGGTGTTGTCAAGACCTTCGAGAAGGCACCGGCCTCCCCCGCGCGTGCGACTCCATCCCCTGTGAAGATCTCAACCCCGACCGCTACACCCCCGCCTCGCACCGGCAGTGGCGCTGATCACAACCGTACCGATTCCAAGGCCAAGACGGACGAGGAGAAGAAGAAGGAGTTGAGAGAGGCGGTGCGTCAGAAGATTGAACAGGACGAAGCAGAGCAACGTCGCAAGGAAGAAGAGGAAGCAGCCGCTCAGAAGAAGAAACAAGAGGAAGCAGCCGCTCAGAAGAAGAAACAAGAGGAAGAAGAGGAAGCGGCTCGCAAGAAGAAGGAGGAAGAGGAAGAGGCAGCTGCTAAGAAGAAGAAACAGGAGGAGGAAGAGGAGGCCGCCAAGAAGAAGGCCGCCGATGAAGAGGCGGCACGCCAGAAGCTTGAGGAGCTTAGCCTAAAGGACAAGGCAGAGGAGGCCAAGCCTGCTACTGAAGAGCCGAAGAAGGAGGAACCCGCCCCTGCCGATGATGAGATCGACTACGAAGCCATCGAGCGCGAGCTGGCCGAGATCGAGGCTAAGGAAGCTGCCGCGGAAGCTGCCTATTACGCCAAGAAGCAGGCCGAAAAGGAGGAGAGGGAGCGTAAGGAGAAGGAAGAGCGCGAGGCCTACGAAGCGAACATGAAACAAGCCGAGGCCGAGGCAGAAGCTCTCGAGGAGGAGCGTCAGCGGAAGCGTGAGGCTGCCGCAGAGACATCCAACAAGGAGCTCTTTGCTGCCCTCAAGAAGGGTGGATTACCTGCTACAGAGGCCAGCACGCCTGCTGACAGCGGCACCGCCACTCCCGTCTCCGACATTTCCATGGGACCTCCTGGCAAGCCTGCCAGTGCCCAGAAGCGAGAGAAGCCTGCTGCTCTGAAGTTGGAGACCACCAAGGCAGTTGAGCCTCCCCAGCCCAGCGCTGCCATGAAGTCCCTTCAATCGGCTCGCTTCGTCGACGACTTGAGCAAGATCAATTATCCGTCCTCTATCGTCTCTCCCAACCCGGCTCTCAATGCCAGCGCTCCTGCGGATCGCAAGTTCCACTACAACAAGGAATTCTTGCTTCAGTTCCAGAGTGTCTTCAAGGAGAAGCCGTCCATTGACTGGGATGCCCGTGTCCGTGAGACCGTGGGCGAAAGCGACTCGTCGCGTCCTCAGTCGGCCCGTACGCCCATGGGAGCACGCAATCCTTCTCGCGGCGGTGTGGCTCAGCCTTTCGTTATGGGCGCCTTCGGACAGCCTGCGGCCAGGACCACCTCTGAGCAACGCTTCGCTGCCTCTAATTCTCGCGGTCCCGCTATGCCGTTTGGCCAGTTCGGCCGTCCTCCTGTCGGCATGGGAGCTCCTTCCATGAGCCGTCCCGGCTCCAATATGGGTGTTGGACCCGGAACGCCCCGTGGTGGCGGCAGCCGTTCCAACACACGGACCGGCAGCAAGCGCGAGAAGCAGTCCGGCAGGAAGGAGGAGGAGATGGCAAAGTCCATGCCTCTCACCGCTGGCAAGGATGTCAAGGCGCTCCAGGTCTCCTCGACGGGTTGGAAGCCTCGTAGCATCGTTCAGCCCGCTGCCGTCGCCGGTCCTACTCCTGGCGGTCATCTTCCTCCGGATGTTGTGCAACGTAAGGTCAAGGCCGCTCTGAACAAGATGACCCCTGAGAACTTCGACCGTATCTCCGGTCAGATCCTGGAGATTGTTTCGCAGTCCAAGGATGAGTCCGACGGACGTACTCTGCGCCAGGTCATCCAGCTTACCTTCGAGAAGGCAACCGACGAAGCTCACTGGGCATCAATCTATGCCAAATTCTGCAAGCGTATGCTTGAGAGCATGAGCCCCGAGATCAAGGACGAGAATATCCGTGACAAGAACGGCAATGTCGTCACTGGTGGCAGTCTGTTCCGCAAGTACCTGCTCAACCGATGCCAGGAAGAGTTTGAGCGTGGTTGGAAGGTCAACCTGCCTCCCAAGCCGGAGGGTGTTACTGAAGAGATCGCCATGCTGTCAGACGAATACTATGCCGCCGCTGCCGCCAAGCGTCGTGGTCTTGGTCTCGTCAAGTTCATTGGTGAGCTGTACAAGCTGGGCATGTTGACCGAGCGTATCATGCACGAGTGTGTGAAGAAGCTGGTCGACTACGAAGGTGTTCCTGAGGAGGCAGAGGTCGAGAGTTTGACTAGTCTCCTGCGCACCATCGGTGCCAGCCTCGATGCCTCGGAGAGAGGTCACACCTTCATGGATGCTTACTTTGCTCGCATCAACATGATGATGGAGATTCCAGGCCTGCCAAGCCGGTTGAGGTTCATGTTGATGGTAAGTTTATCTGCCCCCCAGGGCGGGTTAGTTTTGGAACTAGTCTGACCTATTTACAGGATATTGTTGATCTGCGCAATGCTCGCTGGCAATCAAAGGATTCTGACAAGGGTCCTAAGACCATCCAGCAGATTCGCGAGGAGGTATGTGATCCGCTCTCTTCCAACGTTACCTTTTGACATTCGGCTAATCTCTGCTTCTCAAGGCCGCTCGTGCTCAGCAAGAGGCCGAGATGGAGCGTCTCCGGCAGCAAGCCAACCGTGGCAACCGTCCACAAATGGGCCGTGGCGATGCTCGTAGCTTCTCTGGTTACGGAAACCAGGCCCCTCCTCCCGACTATGCATCCAGCAAGGTTGGAAGCGATGACCTCCGCCGTCTGCGGACGACACGCAACACCAACCAGCCAATGTCCTTTGGCCCATCAAGCATGCTTGGGTCTCGCAGCAGCAGCGGCCGCAAGAACCTTGGCCCTGGAGGCAACTTGGTTCGTGGCAGCGATGATAGCGCAGCCAGCAGCCGTTCCGGAACCCCTACGGCCGGAAAGAAGGAAGATAAGGAGGCCGCATCGTCGATGAATGCGTTCAGGTAGGATTCAATGCAAACACCCTTTTGGTCATTTTTGTCTTGACTAACGTCGGCTGCAGCGCTCTCGCTAGCTTGGATGACAACATGGCCACCTCACCTCCCTCGAACCCTACCTCACCTTTGCTAACCAAGTCTCAACCTACCGTTGAGCGCCGCCCTTCCAAGGCCCCATCGACCACCGGCGAGGAAGCATCATAGATTCTATGGCAATGATAATGATGAAAAATTTTCGTTTCTTCTGGAAAGATCATGTCGTCCCCTTTCTACCTCCCGTTCTTCTTAGTCATGCCATGCCAACCATGCCATTTGAGCATTCTTCATCCTAAACTTCTCGTCTATGATTTCGACTCGATCGGTCTCTCGGATACTCTGTCGCTACAATCGACAAGGGTAGGATAGTGGCCGCCGACGGGACAATGCTTTATTGTGTACAATGTGTTCCGAGCCGTAATGGAGGTGGGGGAATGTAACCAGAGAGGAAGAGCCATCTGGCGAGTCAGGCCGATATGAAGTGTTTCCATCTCAATCTTCCCCTTCGCATCCTTATTTTTTTATCTTTACTTTTGCATTCTCAATACCCAGAGGACTCAAAACGGTCTGCCCTCTGGCAGACATGAACTTTGGAACGCCTCCGTCAGATCTTTGAAGATTCCGCTTGCTTTGCTTCGCTATTACTCCCAGTCAACGCGAGATTACTGTAGCTGACTGACATGTGCATTTTCTTCTCGTTTCTTCCTTTGCTTTGCTTTTACGCAGCATTTGCATTTACACTGGCTTGGTGTATGCCGTCTGTCTGTCTGTCTGCCTCCCGCTTCGCTGTTTCGTTCTAGACAAAATGCCGTTAGAAAAGTTTCCTCTTTCGCCGCGTCTTGGTATCTATCTGTCATATCGACGTTGCAAGCTTCATGTCTATGCCTATGTCTCAATATAACATAACTCTTCAGTGGCTGTCGCTGTCCGCATTAATGAAATGGCCTCGCTCATACGTCTATATAGTCCTATCATTGTCTGGACTTACTGGGAGATTGGGGCCTACTTGCTAGGCTGATAAACGTGGCTATGTTTTGCACTGCGAATTGGAGCTGCTTCCCTCGATACTGTATTGTTCATACCTGAATGAAATTGGTTGGAGACACGTGCCTCTTCTTCAGTGCTTGGACTTGATTTGTTTATTTACCAAATCCATCTGATCTAGGTTTCGTCCATTCACATTCATTGTAACTGAATCTAATTCATACATGCATGTCTAGCTATGAGATGCATCAGATTGGGAATTGTTTATCGTCTTTTCCCCGACGAGGTGGCCTTATAAAGCACACGCACCAGATGCGAGACAAGGGTACATATAAAAAACAGAGCGGAGTGATCATGACATCGTCAGGTATGAGTTGATCTAATTCGTAATCGCTCATACTGAGGGACAAGCAGAATGTGAACTGTAAGCATTCAGTCAAGGTGATAAAAGGCAGATCATAGCCAGCTGCAAAGACGACTAATTGTATAGGAATGCCGCAGATGGAAGGGATGCACAGGAAGACTGGGTTGGACAACTGTGGAATCATTCATCCTTGCCTTCATCTTTTTGATAGGTCGAAATATCCTCAGTCACAATAACTGGAATATTGACCTTTAGTGATTCGAGAGGTGGAGCATTCATCGTTGTGGTCTGTGTATGAGTGTCCGGTGACATGTCGCCGTCCTTGGCAACATCCTGATCGTCATCCGCAGCCTTGTGCCTCGGCGACACATCCTCGATGTGATGACCTGACCGGGGAGCGGGATTATCATCATCGGAGTCGCCTTCGTCTTCCGTGGTCTCTGCGCTCTCCGCAAGACGATTTTTGGCGGTGACGCTCAAAGAGCCCCAATTGGGCGACACTGGTTCCTCCTGACTGACGCTGCTTCTCTCCGACATGGAAAGAGAGCTCCGAGAATTGGTATATGAGGGAGGGAGCCCCAAAGCTGCCGCAACCGCGGCCTCTTCGTCGGGCAGTCTAGAGATGTTGCTGTCGGTACTCGAGCTCGCATCAAAGATGCGGCTACCCCGACGCGAACTCTGCTCAAGGATCTGATTGTAGCTGCGCCTGGTAGGATCCGCCTGCCGCTTTTTCTTTTTCTTTTCTCGCTTGGTGGAGGGGCGGACGACAATGACCGGGATGGGCGACTGCTGCAAGCAATACTTGGAGACAGAACCTGGCAGCAAGCCTTGCACGCCTCCAAGTTTACGGCCGCGCGTTCCCACGATCAACAGCGCAGGTTCGTAGATCCTGATCTTGGGAGTGTCAGTATACTTCATACATATCCGAGTCTAGAGGACTGATTAACATACCATTCGCTGAATAATGTCCTGAACCCTACCAACCGCCAATTCTAGAACCAAGCTGATGGCCTTTTCGTCCTGGCTGTTCTTCTGTATGACCTGCTCGAACAGCCTCTCAGCCTCCTTCCTGTACTTTCCAGCCTCGATTTCGGCATCGCTCGCGAGACCAGAATCCTTTTCAACGGCTCGCAGACAGACGATTTCATCGCCATCGTCGACCAACTCATCGATCAGCCACTCCAGGGCAAAATCGGAGTAATCATTCTGATCAGTGCCACAGAGAAAAGTCCGACTGCGACGAGTACACTGATAGCCTTTATGTTTGTAGTTCAAAGTCAACGAGAAGTCCGCCGCGTCGGGGTTATCGAACGTATCAAAGGACACACCGCGCTCGTAGGTTCTAAGCGAACAATTCAGCTCGTTAGCAGGATTGCAACAGCAGCGCAAGTGCAACAAAGCTCGGGACGTACTGCGGCGGAGGCGGAGAAAGGCCTCGACTAACAGAGCCACTTTTCTGATCCTTCTCCGGCACCTCGATCTGCGATCGTTTCTGGACTTTAACGCTTGAAGACCGACGGACAGGAGACTGCGCTTCGACTCCCCCGATATGAAACTGGATGGACTTGCGCCGGGGATCATCGCCCGCAGGGGAGGCGCACCTTGGCGAGGAGGACTCACGTCCGGTGTCGTCGAACGAATGTCTGGGGGAGAAGGAGGACTGCATTTCGTCGATATATGGGATGCGATGGATACACCGGTGTAGTTTGCCCTCCGTGGAGATAGAAGAAGTAGAGGGGTACGATCCAAAGCGTACGTGAGAGAGCTTTGGTCCCGGCTTTGGAATGCAGATGCGGAGAGGGTATTCTCCAAATGAGGTGAATTAAGGAATTGTAGACTTCGACTAAGACGAGTCTTACTCAGTATTCAGACAGTTTTGCTGGTGAGGGAGACGGCGGAGGTTCAATTTATTTGTCTAGCAGCTCAGCCTCCATGAAGCTCCTGAAGTTCGTCTGCCAGTGGTGTGATGCGGAAAATGCCGATCATGGTTTAGAACCGGTGTGGTGGGAGGACCCCAGGCAGACGGGGGGTGTTTAGTTTGGGCAGAGCTCAAAGACGGCTGCAGCAATTGAACTGATGAAAGGAATTCAGCAAAGGAATGAAAGTTGGCTGGCTATGAGGACGAATGAAGAGGAAAGTGAGCTCTTGACTTCCGGATGCAGAGAGGAAGGTGACAACAGGAGGAGCGCTCTCAAGCGGGGCAGATAAAGGCGGTGAGCGATGTTGTCCCCTATAATACCTTAGTATTATCATGGACTGTATCTGAGGCTATTGCGATATGCACACCTATAACAGGACTGATTGTCTATGGAGTACAGAACAGAATCTACAAAGTCACAGCACATAAGCCCTTGTTGACTCGAGACACAAACCCCATCTTGCCAAACCTGCATAACTCCAATGGCAGCCCCTCTTCAGCCTTCAACTGTAGAAACGGCTACTCGGCACTTAACTCATACAATCTTCTGAGGCAGCTTTCTCCTCGCAATGAGGGGTTAAATGACGCCGTCAGCTGCCTTGCATGACCCACGGAAATCAACCTCGAATCCTTGACTGCAGACTACACCCAACAGAGTCAATAACGCAAACTTCCGGAATCCCAGTGTTTCAAGGAGACAATTCGGGGTTGGCGGAGATAACTATCTCTATCTTCGAACTCAGAAATGAGACCTCAAGAGAAAATCTGCCGGAGTCCTAACTCCGCTGATGGACTAGTCTAGAGTTGATGTTAGAGTCATACTCGGGTATCAGGCGTCACTCCGATCCACACCCCACCAATACCCTGAGCAGCGAAGACCCATTCACTTTCGATAGAGAGTTTCGGATGGCCATTCCAGGAAAATGGATCTGGCTTCTGCGGACATTTATTTGGCAAGTGTCAGAAAGTTCTTCTAATATCCGTCAAGGACATATCTGTGTCAAAGTGCATGGATTGTCTATTGACTACAGTAGGCGGTGTACCCCTCTACTTGGTCATTAGTGGCTTAGAGCGGCAGCGCCAGCAGTGACTATTGAAGATCAACGGTCACATGCGGATGTTGGTTACTGATCTTCAAGGAGCTCGAGCTATTGCCCTTACAGTAGATACTTTGCATCTGAACTAAGAGTTTTCTTTTTACGCCAGAAGAAAATTTAAACTTACTAGTCAGCAAATAGTCGGTCGTTGAAGGACAATACTAAAACGCCAGGTGCCCAATGCGAATAACGACTGGATGGAGTGTCTCCGAATTGAGACGATCATCCAGTGTGAGACTGTGCTACTGGAGAGGAAAAAGGGGGAGGACGAGTATTTTCAAGGATTTAATCTTTTTTTGATCTATAGATCATCATATATATATAAGCTTGGCCATATACCCAAGGCCATCCCATCATGCATGCCCGACAATAGGGGCTCCATACATGCCGTCGTAAGAGTAGAGAATCATCAATGGTGCCCAAATAGTGGACACTAACAAAATTCTAGACGCCAATAGATGCATCAAGTCGATAGCTGAAATCAGTCCAAAAAAACGCCGTGCCCGCTTAGCCTATGAAAGCCGTTGCAAATAAATGTCCAAATCGGACAAAAGGGTATCACGAGAATATACACTGGCGGAGAAACAATAATTCGAAACAAGACGTAATCAGTACGCCTCGATGAATGTGCTTTGCTCCTGTCCAGTAACGTAATACCCCGGCCCATATTCAGGGTCGGCAAGTGGAAGCTCGGCCGATTGAGGCTGCTTCTCTGAGAAACTGGCCAGCGTGGGTTGCGGTGGTGAAGGAGGCGTAGCATCATCCTCAGAGTCCTCGTCAGAGTCTGAGGAGAGCTCGGGAGGGGTTTGTCGTGATGGTGAGCGAGTCAAAATGAGCTCATCCAGATCTTCGACATCGTCGTATTCAAAATCCGAGTCCGAATCCGAATCGTAGTCCTCATCCACTTCTTTCTCGGTGATGACAGCCACGGGCGATGGTGCCCGTTGCCGGATGGGCATCTTGATCGTGGCAAATACTGGTTCCTCTTCGTAGTCTTCAGCATCAGAGTCCGAGTCGTCACTATCCGAGTCAAGATCCGAGGCGTCTTCGGGATCCCAGTCTTCCTCGGGCTCTTCAATCAGAGCGTCGGCCCATTGGATGTGTCGAGGCTGTGAGATTTGAGAGGATTTGCTAGCTCCGTTGACAGTCTGGTTGAACCACCGTTCCTGTTCCTGCTCGGCGTCGGCGAGATCCAGCATCAATGAATCAAGTAGGTTGGCATGGCCAACCAGGAGACGGAGATCGTGGTCCGCCCGTGAAGCTTCCCGAGTAAGCTTCTTGCGGGCGGTGTGAGCAAGGTAGTATGTTTGTGTAATGCTCATTTTCTTCTGTTGACGTCGTTGGGCGATTGACTTGGAGAATGTAGAGGAGAAGGTACTTGAGAGGGATGGAGAAGACGAAGGAGGAGACCGAGTTGTGGAGGAGTTTACAACCATGATTCCTAGCTTCGGGGTGTTGATGTGCTTATGAGCTCAACCAAAGATTGATCAGAATATTGACTCGTCCACTGGTGAGTCAAAGACTGGACTATGGGCTGTGCTTCTCGTTCCGGCGGTCGGGCCCACCTCCAATACAATCGATTGTAGCACAGAGCGGTGAGTCAAACGATATGCAAGTGGTAAAGTGCACCTTTCGGCCAAGCCTGGGAAAATGTAGGGGCAATTCAATAGTCCCCTTATCTTTCTTTCCACCAGATCGACTCGTACACTGATCAGAGTACGGCGCAGTTGTGTTCGTCCGATTTGCGATGTGAGATCCACTGGTTGTCTGTTCGACCGAGTGTGGAACAGCCACAGGTGTTGATGTATCCTCTACAAGGCAGAAAGTGAGGCTGTAGATGCTTGATGGCTGGGTGAAGGTAGGTAGTGTGGAAAGTAGAAGATATCAATGAGACAGGTTTCACCAGTGCGAGATGGGCTTGATATGAATTTCTGATATATCCACTTTTGTTATTGACTAGGCTGAAATTTTTTTTCTTTTAATCCGCTTTCTCCATTATTCATATATTCCTCTATTTCTCTTAGTGATGTTTTTTTACCTCTGGCTGCCGTGATCCCGTCTAAGTCCGAACAGCGATCGGACGCCGGAGCGAAAGCGAGCCTGACATCCATGGCTCGGACACAACGGGACAACTGGATCCACCTGAGAAGATGAAAAATCAAAAAACAAAGGGAAAACCAGCCATTCTGATTCAGCCCTGGCGATCAACCGATCAATGGCGATCCAAGGAACCACAGTGAAAAATTAGTCAGACAGGCAGTCGCGAATACTGCAAGCTCACCGCCTCCCTCCAGCAGCCAATGAGTAACGATGACTCACATCCTTAATTCCGCCAAGCTATCTCCTTTAGGCAATTCCTGGCACGGAGGTGCCGATCCAGCCTTGCAACTGGGGCTCGGATGACCAATCTTTCCACCCCGTTCCCTCCGAACCTTGGTGAATTGCTGATGTTATGAACACTATTATGATTGCAAATCAACAAACAATCCTTCTTATATATACACATAACGGAGGAACGCTGGAAGGTTCCAGGATTCCAGCATATCGAGCTTGTCGAGAACATTAGATTTGAAATCACATTTACCTTAAGTTTACCAGCGGGGTTATTATGATTAGTGAGCGATCAACAATTATAATCAAATTACACAGCACATAGCCTGGCAATGTCGAGTCTAAGACGACACATGTCACATCCTACTCTATGTGGATCTCAAAAAGAAAATAAATGATCAGACCTTTGTTATAGAGACTTGGATAGTACGGAGTAGGTAGCAATGAACTGCGCTTTCAGTCCAAGACCGACCGCATTTTTGGGCTTCAGTCGATTCCACTAGGTTGAAGCGTACAAGAGTGGTGTACCTAAACGGATGCGAGGATGCATCCCGTGCCAGTATCACTCCGCTTTCCGACAGGGTTTAGAGTTCTCGGAGTGACCGTCTTGACGAGACCCCGGCGTTAGCGTGCCAATGCGGATTACGGCATCAACGTAACCGACAGGTTGGATACTCCGTATTCGTATTTCGATCCTTTATTTTCATCTGATTACCCATCAGGGTTCCATAATCAGCCTCAAATGCTGAGGTGATTCTGACAAGCTGTCACTAATCCTATCGGGAGTCGGGACTACACTGCCCCATCATGTCTTCGTATCTTGCAGGCTGAATCGGAAATTAGGGCATCGATCAATCTAATCTCCTTGGTTTGATAGCAGGTGCCCACGTAAGCCATAAGCGACGGATATCTGAGCCAAGCTCCGTGTTAAGGCTGCCATATTCTGGTTTCAATACTTGCGGAGTATTGCTAATCATGGTTCGCATGCGAGTCACGCTGTCATAGGTTCACAATGAGGACCTTCTGGAAAGCCGCTAGCCAGTCAAGTTTCAGAAGTGTCCCAAGACAACGCAGACATATACTTGGCTGATATGAATAGCATTTGTGATGTCTCGCCTTGGCAGCGAGATGTCGAACAGGAGAATACACCCAACCTTTTCGATACCTTTTATACGATATCAGGCAACGAAGTCTGCCAAGTCCAATAGGCTACCTTAGTAAATCTGATGTTTCAAACATTCTCTAGATTTATGGTTATCAGTGAATTACCCCAGCGCGCCGCCCTATGGCTGAATCATCCACCAGGTGGAGGAGCTGCACTGCATCAAGCGGGTATTACCATTTTCAACAATTATCTACGATCTTATAATTCAATGAGATATCTGCAGGATAAAGAAAAGACACCTACCTTACCCTGAAAATAAAGACATGATCATAATTGCGTACTTCTCAAGCAATGAGCCAGTGGTGCCTCAGTATTTGTCCCTATCATGCATGAATTACCAAATGATTAGCAACCACGTTAACTTGAACATGTCAAAAGGCCAGCCATGGTACTTCAATGCCAGCTCCAGTGTGCGATGCCTCGTGTTTCCCGGGGTGCACGTTGTATACGGTCCGAACTCAGTGATAGCCCATCCTCCGTGGTGACGTCAACCATTTCTAATCAATTTACATCGACATCATATCTGGGGAAGCCATCATCAAATAAGCATCCAGATGCATACAATGATTAGTTTCGATCATTCCAGACAATAAGATCGCCGAAGGCAAAAGATTCCATCACTACAATGACCTTGTGATGTCGAAGTCGATGTCGATGTCGCAATCAGAGAAACTCACCATACAGATCAAGGTATCTAGGTCGCACGTCGACATCTTCCAATGTCGTCAACGACACTGACGATCCCAAAAGCCGAACATTTGATAAGGATTACAGGTCTTCCATAAGGATAAGGTAATGACTCTCAAATATGCTTGACATCACACTCAATCAACAACCAAGTCGATAACATCACAACAATCAAACACACTTATGAGCACCAATCACCGCTGATTTTTCTGCCGGACATTCAAAGTAAAGAAGTGAAAGTCAGCATAACCCCACTTCCCTTATCACCCTTAGTAACTATGCTTTGTGCTTATGCATTATACATTATGCGCCTATGCATAAATCACAAAGCACATGGCGAAGGATAAGTAATCGGCGACGGGAGTTCGGGGCTTTTTGCGCTCCAGTCGCCGATTCCTCGTCCCGTCGCCACTGGTTTTTCTACGTTCTGCCACGGACCGGACCCTGGACATTTCGCTCGTCCGAGCAAGCTATGTAGAGCCGAGGTCTGAAGAAATTTGCGGTTCAGTTCGTACGAGAAGGAAAAGTCACTTGATCGCGCCATATCAGATGAGTTGCTGAATTAGGAAGTAAATTTTTGATCATTGTAGAATTTGTTCCTGGTCTAGCTGTCTAGCATGTGATGGGCAATTTGAGGCTTATCCTTTCATGCAGTGGATAGTAATGCGCATTTGATTACACAACCATGTGGCTATGAAATACTGGAATCCAAGAGAAAATGTTAATGCTACCACAAGAGTTGAATCTTTGAACTATTTACAAATGAAGCGAAATGCGGTCATGCGACCTCGTCTATCCTAGAACGGCCCACGACTTACCTCATCCTCAGCTGCCCGCCACCCTCCGAGTGCGATGCGACCGACGGCTTAAATTAAACACACTGGTGGTAGTAAGCGTTCTGCTTAACACAGGTGTAGCCGCTCTCGCAGGTTGTAGGGCCGGTCCAGTTGATTCCACCGCACTGGTACCAGTGCTTGGCGACGCCAGAGGCAGAGCTGTTGGCGGCAGGCTCGGAGGCATTGCAAACGGAACCAGAGCTAGAAGTAGGAGTCGAAGCAGCGGCGGTCGTTGGGGTGCTGGGAGCAGCACTGGAGGGCTGAGCAGCCTCAGTAGGAGCGGGAGCGGGAACCTCGGCTGCAGGCACAGAGGACGGAGTAGGAGTAGAGGAGGGGGAAGAAGTGGCGACGACCTGAACCTGAGTAGGGGCAGTAGTGGTTGGCTGGGTCACAGAGGTAGAAGAGCTGGTGGTCGAGGAAGAGGAAGAAGAGCTAGTGGTCGAGGAGGCTGAGGAAGAAGAGCCGGTGGTCGAGGAAGAGGAGGATGAAGAGCCGGTGCCGCTCACAAAGTACTTCTTCAGAATGGGAAGGTAGGTTGAGTAGGCAGGACCGCTAGTAGGCTCGAGACTGTACATGTAAGTTCCCCACCAGGGACCGGCAGACCACCACTCAGCACCGAGCCAGACGTCGCTGTTCTCGGACATGTAAGAGAGAAGACCCTCAACAGCGGTCTCGCACTGGGAGTTGACACCACCGGCGAACTCTCCAAGGAATCCTTTGAGGCTATTGTCCTTCAGCCACTGAGTGGCAGACTGCACACGCTCCTGGCCGATAGTGGAGCTAACACAGGACTCAGAGGTACCAGAACCGTCCGAGTCAAGGTACTGGTGCATCTCAAAGACGATCTTATCCTGAGGATCCTTCAGACCCTTAAGGTTGTCATTGTTGTCAGTCCAGGTCCAGGCGCCACTGTAGTGGTTACCCTCAACGAAGATGTATTGCGTTGTGGCACCGGCAGCACGGATACCATTGATGGCGGCCTGGTTCAAATTGAGCACCAGAGTCTGGTCCATGTCATGGTATTCATTGTCTGGAAACATCAGCCTAACAATTCCCACCTATCAAAGCTCCAAGGTCTCCAATGGTAGGGAGTCTCACTGGTATCGAAGATGACCTTGTCATTGGAGGCAAATTCGCTAGCGACGGTCTTCCAGAATGTCTGGAAGTCAGAAGTAGAGGAAATGATACTTCCAGAGCTGTACGGTGGAATTTAGTTAGTTACAACACCGCCGGTAAAGACCAGCCATGACTTACTATCTTCCATAGTTATGAGGATCAAGAATGGCATAAGCACCACTGTCAGTAATGAATTTGACGGTCTATCGCCGAGTATTAGCATCTCCTCACGTCAAAGCAAATGTCATGTCCCTGCCCTACATTCTTCAGGTCGCTCAGGTAGGTGGCATCCGGAGTACCAGTCATAGAGCTGGGCACCAGACGCTCCATCAAAAACGGAACACGGAAGATGTTCATACCCGCATCGCGCAGAGTCTGAATCTTCGAGGTATCGGGCCATGTGTAGTCGGTACCCAGCTTTCCGGGGATGCTGCTACCGAACTCGGCACCAGATTCGTTGACACCGACCCCTGCAGGCGTATAGTGTTAGTCTAGTATCTCGAGATACCATGGCAGGATTATCGCCTCAACACACAGGTAAATCCAGAGGAGCGTTTTTTGGCCACCTCGCGTACGGGCAGAGCGTTGACCAGACCAGCAGCGCTGGCGGCCATGATCAAGTTGCTGATTCTCATTTTGGTGGTATAAAGAACGTGTATCGAGCTTGTCGAAGAGCAGAAAAGCAAAGGGGAAAAAAGGAGAGACGAAAGACGAAATTCAGAGTCTAATGAGTGACAAGAAACCAGTCTTGAGTTGTAGAGAGAAGAAAGAGAGGCCCTGAAAGGATGGGCCCAGTGTGCTCAGCTTATATAGACCTCGTCATCTCGGAGGATGCGGTTCAGGGATCCCCATTCATTTCGCAAGCTCCACAGCTTTAATATCGAGGTAAGCTTGTCTGCCTCTGGGATGGTTCCACGGTGTGGGTCACATCGATACATATTACATTGCAAGGGATCAAGCATCCGTCCAAGCTTCGAGTTCTCCATTAGCTGGGGCCACTAGCCACTAGCCGGGTTCCCTGGCAGCTCATCTTTTGAGACATCGGAAGGTGGACAAAAGAGCAAAGTCGCCATAATTCTCCGGGCCTGAGCCATCAATTTGATGATGCATCATTTAATGCCAGGGGCGCACAGTTTGGAGCGTTGGTAGAGCATAGTTCTAGAACGACATTTGAACAATCGTAGTGGCGCCTTGAATGAGTTGGATGGAACCGATCATTGTCCGAGACACAATACCAAGCCTTCATCTCCGGTATTCCAGTCAACTCACCTCTTCCGCGTCCGACGTGACGTGGGACAAAAAGCAGGCTCAGCGGTGGTCAGAAGGCTTAGCTGGCGAATAGCTAAACTGGTGCCTGCTCCGTAAATTTGATCCTGAGTGGCTTAATTAAGGAGCGAGAAATGCTCCTGGCTCGGATAGCATCATTGCCATCAGCCAAATATCCAATGCGATTGCCTGGTTTCGATCCCGTGTGGGTAAACCGAAGGATGAGAGGAGCTTGTGCTTTAGATGAAACAGTATAGCGCTCCCAGGAATGTGTTCGTTGGTGGAGAAATTATTATGGAGTCATTGGTAGGATCTGGGCCGTTGATGGTTCAGACACGGTGAGCAACGGTTGTTTCGGATCGTGCAAACCGAAAGCTTGTACCAAGGTCTGTCTAAAACAACATATCTGAGGTCCCGACGTCAAGATACGTGCTTTAGCAAGCTTGAAGTCAATGATCGGAAATATTATCGTACTTAATTGCGGATGGGATAGAAATAATTGGAAGTCGAAAGCTCCAAAGGTCGAAGTGAGACAAAGACGTTAGCAAGACCCACCGGAAGTCAGCCATCAGCAAACTAACGGTTTTTAGATTGCATGTTTAATGAGCTCTCTAGAAGTGAGCATGCACTGGAGTCTCGAGCAGGAAATTAGGGGGCGGCCTTATATAGTATTATTGACCAGTTTGTTAACTGTCTGAAGAATAGGTTATACCGCGAGATGGGAAACATGAGTAGAATATGGCATTGGTAACCACCTCTGTTAGTTCTGGCGAGAAGCCGCAACGTAATGCGAGCTACATATGACAGTCAGGCAGGTGAAATGCCCCTTCTGCCAGCATTTGATACAATTGGTACGATTCATTGAAGTGGTAGGACGTTTTGAGGAAAGAAGTTCGACACTAAGAACATGCTATTCCATTATCGGCTGACGTGGAACTCAAACGACCTATCGCCTTTGCCGATGGGAATTGCATTTACATCGTTATCGTAAAGCGTACGCTCAAAGTATCTCACTCTTCCATTTGCACTTACGAGCACCACAGTCTGTTTCTGAGTTCCGTATGCGCCCTGCAAGAATGACTTGTCCAGCAAATCATGGGGCGGTTGACTTTCGACTGGAACCTTGTCCGTATCGCGAGCTGCAGCAACCTCGTCGGCTGCCCTAGACTTCTCTGCCCGTGCTCCAATCACTGGGACGAAGATACTCTGTCGCAGCAGGAGGAGGTAGGTCTCCAGCGTGGAGTCTTCTGAGAGCCTGGGGAGAGTATCCTGGCTCAGGACCTGAAGTAGTCGGTTGATGAGTTGATCTTCGTCTTCACCCGCTTGCACATGAGCATTGATGGCCTCTTTCATGAGCTTTTCTCCGTCGAGGATCTTTGGCCAGGAGCGATCACCGAACGTTGTGTTGCTGAGTCCCAATGTCTGACCCTTTTCTGTGGCAATCCAAGAGATCTGGTCCATACTGGCTGACCGATTTGATACGATGGCTAGTGGCTCATTGACATAACCACAAACCAGGCTGAATCCGCCGACATTTCTGATCTCGGACGAGGCTACCATTCCCTGTACAAAATCTCTGGTGGATTGCCTTTGCTCGGGGTCCGCCGTAAGCCAGTTGTTGACAATCAGGCCTCGACTATGTACTCCACTGGGCTCATCCGCTGTAGTCTCCCGAAAGTTGGTCAGGACAGCTATTTTGCCTTCTTTTGTGACCCCCATCCATGTCCCATGTGTGGCTCGAGCCAGATCTCTGCCTCCAAGCACGTTGGTGCTAGGTTCCGGCCACCAGTCAGCGCAGGATGTTGGACGACGGAGGAATTCCTGATTACTGTTAGTTTATGTAGGGTAACAAGGTGCTCCGAGGTCGATATTCGCATACATCCCTGTTATCGATAACGATCAGAGGATAGGAGGGGTGGGCGGTGGATATTAATGCGATGCACATGTCGTTGGACGTATGAAAGTTTAAAAGTAACAACAATCAAATATCTGGGAGGAAGATAATATATAGAAAGAATTAGAGCTTGCGTGCGGTCCAGAGACAATTGGAGCCAACTGATGATCAGTGGTATGACGACGAGCTATGCAGCGTCAACACCGCCAAGTGTGTCGTTGTTGGGCACACGAACAAGGCGCAGGACGGTCCAAGACTCGTGAGGGGTATTCCACTGCTAAACAACAAGTAATATCTGACTAAAAGAAGTTACAAAATTCTGAATAGTTAGCCACTCGATGTTCTGATTGATCGCAAGCTCAAAAGCATTGGGACAAGAGTCATGAGAGTTGGGCTGGCATCTTGAGGTCATCAGACCCAATAGTGCAATACTGCCGGAAATTTATATACCGCCTTCTATGTTTACCACCGCTTTGAACACGTAGCTAGCCATTTTAGGCTTAGTCTCAAGCTGGTCTGAACTTGCTCGAGGCTCGAGACGTTCGAGCTTCTCAGTCGAACCACAGTCGAATCGTTTCTTTGGCATCAGATATCATCATCTATGTCTCGAAAGAACCTTGTTGATCGGGAAGATTTGAGCTGGAGGCCAGCATAGCACGCTAGATGCCGTTGATTTTAAACTCAATAATGGCGTTGTGATCCGCCACGTCCCAGCTTTTGACCATCTCTGGGCCCGCAGTGGGCATTCCAGATTTCCATAGTTTAGGGTAACCTCGATTTCTGGTTGAATTTGCACGAGCAGATTCAAGATGCCGACGTTCACAAATGCCAATCTATTTTCAAGCGCAGAGAATATGACTTTCTGATTTGTCGATTGCAGTTGAAAGATAGTAGCTGACCAAACGAACTGGTCAACTAACTGGTCAACTAACTGGTCAACTAACTGGTCTACACTACAGCGGACTACTCCGCACATTGCAAAATGCAAACAGGTGCCTTCCATGATGCCCCCACACATAACCCACTCACCTACTCCGTAGCAAGCCTTCCAAGTACCCAAAAATAACTGGTTCATTGAGACAGACGTCTTAATTCGGCCAAAGCCAAGATGAAGACCTGGCCGAATAGGTAGCACCTCCGTTGACTAACGCGGAACGGTGCAAGTGTGCTTCTTGCATGAGCCCCCAGGCCCCAATTCTGCTTCACTTGGAATGCCACGAGGCCCACAACTCGTAACATGACGGCTTAGGGTTTGGTGTTGAATTCATCGAAAGCCGTCTCCGAAACCCGCATAATCCCTGATAATTAGAGGGACTTTGGACCCGTACCCAGTCCAATACAGAGGTAATTGTATTGCCTGATATCTATCTCGGTGGTTCGGATACACCGATGGCTAGGAGCGGCATTTACAGTGATCAACACAACTAGGCCCTTTTGAGGAGATTAAGCTGGCCAGTCATCTTCTATATGTTTCAACCTTGGCATGGCCACACTTGCATAGTGTTCTAGATCCAATAGTCAACCCTATGAAAGTGGAGGAGCACTCCCTCGGTAGGTATGATTATTCGATAGACTGGATCATGATTCGTCACTTCGGATATGCCCGATGGCACAACCTGGGTGGCTAGAAAAGTCAGCCAAGAGGGAGATGAAACACGAATGACCTGAATAACATGTCCATGCACAGTGACCTCATCCAAAATCTTATCAAGCATAGCACAAGAATCATTATGAAGAAGATTGTTGCATTGTTCCTCATCTTCGTTGTTCTTGGGCTTCTTGTGACCCCTTTCCCCACCTTGCTTCCATTATAGGGGCCTCGGGCCTTCGGCTAAACGTCACGTTTCCGCTGGCATACTTCATAAAAAGCGTGGCATCCATCGCAGAAAAGTATGGGAACTTGAACGATAAATCCAGAGTCTCCAGTCTGCCTTCATCTTCCTATTGTGATGGCGTTCCCGCTTCTGACCGTCGCGGCTGTGGCTGTTGCCCTCCGTCTGCTGTGGGCGCTGGTTTCGAGATGGCAGCACGCACAAAATGCCCGCAGATTAGGCTGTGGCCCAACTCCTCTCTATCCTAGTGATCCTCTAGGTATCAGTGTTCTCAAGGAAGCTTTGGCAGCAGACAAAGTGAAAAAGATCCTACCGATGGTTGAGCGCCGAGTCGCGCTCATGAGCGACCGCGAGGGCCGATATGTTACGACCTTCCGGTTCAGGCAAATGGGACGTGAAAATTATTTCACAACAGATCCGAAGAACATCCAAGCCATTCTGGCCACGCAATTCAAGGACTTTGAGCTGGGGGCTCCTCGAAGACAAGCTCTCCATCCCATTCTGGGGAGTGGCATTGTAGGTTGCGCCTCGTGAATATGCAGGGTTTGTGCTGCATGCTAACAGCGTTGGTGTAGTTCAGCTCCGATGGCGAGGAGTGGTCTCGCTCCAGAGGTCTGCTCCGTCCTCAGTTCACGCGTGGTCAAATCAGTGACCTCGACCTGGAAGAACGTCATGTCCAAAAGGCGATGCAGGCGATGCCTGTCGTCAACGGGAAGTGGACCGAGGCAGTGGATATCCAATCCATCTTCTTCCGTCTCACCATCGACTCCGCGACCGAATTCCTCTTTGGCGAGAGTGTTGAGAGCCAACTCTCGGCCTTGAAGGGTGGCCAGACCCCCGAGGACAAATTCCCCTACTATTTCGACAAGTCGCAATGGTACGCGGCACAACGGGCCCGCTTCGAGAAACTGTACTGGGTTGTGAACAACAAGGAGTCGCGCCACGCGGAGAAGGAAGTGCACGCGTACGTGGACCGTTTCGTGCACAAAGCACTCAAAGCCGCCCGCGAAGGCAAGCTCGCGGACCCGGAGAAATCGTCTCAATACGTCTTCCTGCACGCTCTGGTTTCCGTCACCCAGGACCCGATCGAACTGCGCTCGCAGCTGTTGAACATCCTCCTCGCGGGTCGTGATACCACCGCGTCCCTGCTCAGCTGGACAGTGCTGATGCTCGCACGCCACCCGGCCGAGTTCCAGAAGCTGCGACAGACCATCATCGACGAATTTGGCACTTACAACCAACCCCGCAACATCACCTTTGCGGCCCTCAAGTCCTGTCAATACCTGCAATACTGTATGAACGAGACCCTGCGTCTGTTCCCCGTGGTCCCCGGCAACCGCCGCTCCGCAACGAGGGATACCACCCTTCCCCGTGGCGGAGGCAGCGACGGCACCCAGCCCGTCTACGTGCGCAAGGGCCACCTCGTCGTATACAACGTGCACGTCCTGCACCGGCGCAAGGACATCTGGGGCCCTGACGCCGAGGAGTTCAAGCCAAGCCGGTGGATCGATCGCAAGGTGGGCTGGGATTATATCCCGTTCAACGGTGGACCGCGCATCTGCATCGGGCAGCAGTTTGCTCTCACCGAAGCGGGATACGTCCTGGTGCGGTTGCTGCAGCGCTTCGACACCATTGAGGACGTACAGCCGCATCTGGAGATCCGACATGCTTTGAATCTGACCAGTGCGCCGGCGGATAATGTTACGGTCCGGATGCGTGAGGCGGATTAACTTTAGCTTTGGAGGCTTTTCTGATTTTAGTGGTTGCGTTCGCGGTGTATTTGGGTATATACATGATCAATGATACCAGTTCTGCGCATGATAAGCATGTCACATCTCGAAGCCGTAGCCAACAATTCATTTCAATCGAACAAATTTAGCCATACAAGCAGATATACAAGCAATGAACCATAACGACATTCAGCACTTGTCATTATATAATATAATCTACCACCCAACCACTATCAACAGGGTATATTTCATATCCCCCCCTCGTAATCCACTAGCAGCAACACTCGCAACACTCGAAACAGGCAAGCCCCGCACACCTTCACTCGTCAGCACGCCAGCATCTCATCATATAGTACGGGAAAGGAAAAACCTACACGCCACAGCAAACAGCCTCCTTCTCACCACCACCACGCAGTCTCATGTCCATCTGTTCCTGTGCGGGCTAACAGGGCGAGCGTCAGTTGATACTGTGTCAATAGATGGGGACCAATGGTTGAGGTATACCGGCGGCTGGGACACGAGCAGATTCGGTGCCGCGGGGGTAGCCGGTTGGGTCATGGTTAGGGTATTGGGGTCCCAGGTTGGTCGCTGGCGCTGTTCCTCCTTGGATTTGAAGGGATTGAGGTTGAACATGTTGAACATGAAGAGTGGGAGTGAACTGGTTGTGTAATGTGCTAAGCGATATGGCTATAGTCTGACTGACGAGGGACGAGCTGAGCTGAGGAGATAACTGGGCTTGAGATGAGACGGGATGGGACGGTGAGCTTTATTACGCGAGAAGTCACTAGCTTCATGGCTGGATAGTCTAGCTCCAGATGCGAGGTAGCGTCTGAGCGTATTCTCCCACTGGACAGCTCTGTAGAGGAATCATGCTGCCTAGCGAGTCAGCGCATGCTGCTTGGTTGATGGTCCGTCTCCAGGTGGCATGGCGCCGAAGGCTGAATCGGCGGTTATTTATTGGATGTATTGTAGATTCGAGCTTCCCCAGCGGTGGGTGTTGTAGGGTGTTGTTTATCGCATTAATCCCTCATATTTGACTGTGGCTGATCTGTCCTGTGACTGCCCATCGGTTGCTGCCAGTCGGGCTACGTCTCCATAATGCCCAGACTCTAAAGGTGAAACAAGCCTCCTTGGCACGGCTTATTTTCTTGATCTGCTCGTGGCTTGTTCATCACCTAATCTATTGAAGAGTAACTATATACTGTATCGAGACCTGACCAAGTCTATACCTTCCTCTTGACCAATCCTCGGAAGAAATCAAAACTGTTGCTGTCACTCTGCAACTGCCACACTCGTCCCGTAGGCCGATCGTTCCATCCCAACTCCTCTGCCAGCAGCAACCCATAATCCCGAGTAATACCCTTGATCCGAGCTCGCGTTCCGCCTTCTTCCTCTAATGTGACAACCTGATGCATGTGCAGCCAGTCGTCGTAGTACATCGTCTCAAGCTCCCGGTCAAAGCCTGTTCGCAGGAAGCGGGTGTACAGCTCCTCGAACGTGGTGAGGCACCGGGCGAGAAGTTTCTCGAGTGTGATTGGGGCGGTTTTATTGGGGAGGAAGCGAGAGGCGAGTGCATTCAGCGAGGTGGTTGGAGAGGCGTTCGTGGCGTTGATGCCAATTCCCACCACTGCGATGTATTCGTTCGAGGAAAAGAGCGAGTTGACGAGGATTCCGCAGATTTTGGTGTAGTGCTTCTTCTCCGGGTTTTCGGGGTCCAAGGCATCTTGACTCATTAGCTAGCCCTATTTAAATGAGAGAATCGAACTTACAAATGTCATTGGGCCATTTGAGCTTAACTGGCATGTTCTCAAAGCCCACATCGTAGCTCTTGATACCCCGTACGACCGCCATTGCCGCCAGATACTGAATGAAAACCACGGGAGCAGACTGGATCTTTTCGATCGGGTGCCTTACGACCGTCGAAAAGATCAGGGCCCCTGCCGGAGAAACCCAGACATTGGAGCCTCGGCCTCGGCCTGCGACCTGGGTGGTTGCTGTCGCTGTGAATCCATGTGGCAGTTTACGGAGTAATTTGGGATTTCTGTATCCGTCAGCTCTGAAGGTCCAAAAGTCTAGCGGAAGACTTACTTTTCCAGAATCGTATTTGTACTAGTGACGACCTCGCCATACATGATGCTTGAACCGAAACAGCCAGCACCTTCCCGCATCTGTGACTGGTACTGTTCGAGATTGGCGTAGAATGCATGGTGATTGAAGCAAGGAGTTGCTTTGGAGGATGGAAGCTCGTCGTGGATCACTAAAGGTTTGATGATTGCGTTGTAATCGACAATACCATCGCTAGCACCCTGTTCAGACTGGGGGAGAGACTCCTCCAATGAACTCATACTCCAAGTTCCAGATCTCTCCAGACGAAACGTATCGTTTTCATCTTTGATGAATTCTTCATCCCCCTCGCTACTAATCACCTCTTGCAACGATGATCGGATGCGGGAAGTGTCAGCCGGATTTTGAGACGACAGGTGCAACGAAGAAAGTGATGGCACAGTGGTGGTATTCTGGGTGACCTGTAGGCCCAGCTTGGACAGGCAGGCCTTCAAAAAATCGGTGCGCGCTTTATCGTCCGCTGCCAGCGCATCCACCACCTTGGCATAATCCTCGCCCCCGGCCTTTTTGTCTAGGTTTGCCGCTGCGAACCTGTTCAGTTCTGTCAGTCACCTGCTCCTTGAAATCTCTGATTTACGTACTCTGGATGCGGTCCGGTCAGAATGGCCGCTCCCTCGCCCACCTTACAGTAGACGACGGCAGCCGCACCTGTACCTGGATCAACATTCAATTCCTCCGAGTAGCTGGCCAAAACCTCCACGCCCTTATCCCCATACAAGGGCGCGTCGACAAAGACACCACCCCCGTTGTAATAGCACTTGAACCCCTCCGGCACCACACCGGCTTGGAGTACATCCTTGGAGACCTTCAGATCGGCGGCGCGCGCCCCCACCTCGCTGTGGTACACAAATCCGGGAAAGGCACCGCCGCGGCATATTCCAGGGTAAAAGGCCAGTTCCCGATCCCCGACCACCTCCATCGTCTTATCGCCGACCTCGAACTCGCATCGCTGGCTGCCGTAGTAACCCCCCGCGCAGAAACCGAGGTATGCGCCGCCGCGCTTGACAAACTGCTCGATTCGACGGTTGCCCGTTCCGTTGAGAGATCGGCAGTACCCCAGATCCGCTCCTCCAGGCATCACCAGCAAGGCGCATGTCAGCGTCCACGGCTCCTTGATGAGCATGTCGGCGGTCACGGGGATCACGGCATAGTGCGGGGCGAGGAGGCGGCGGAGGGTGTAGAGGCAGTGTCGGACGGACTCGACGGTGCTACCATTGCCTGGAGAGGGAGGAGAACGGATTAGACTATTTGACTTCCATGCGGATTGGGTGAGCGAACCGGAGTAAACTAGGACGTTGAGCTTCTTGCCATTGAGTTTGGGCGTGGTTGCGGTCATTGTCGCTGTCGCTGTCGCGAATGCGGCGAGTCGGTCTCCGGACGGAGCAAGATCAATTCTTTCTTAAGACACAACTCACAGGCTTATACAGCTCACGTCTGAGCAATTGAACAAGATGTCGACGAAGGAGGATAAGCCCGCGGTGGTCCCGGAAGTGGACGATGACGAACCTGATGAATGGTAGGGGCTTCTTCCTTTGACTTTTGAGATTCTCGGAGATTGAAGTTCTGGACTAATGCGGAGTCATCGGAGGACAGGGACAAGCGGATCTTCAGCACCGGTTGCGCAGGTGAGTCTACAATAAAGAATATTGATTGATAGACAAGCTACTAATCGAGTATCAACAGTGGAGCAGGATAAAATGAACGACTGCTATTTTGCGAAGAAGGACTGGAGACTGTGCAAGGACGAGGTGAGACGCGCTGAGACCGCTTGCAAACGAACGCAAGCACCGCATCACACCTGTTCTAGCCTTGATTTCACCTCGCCGTACACAATGAACCAGAGAATTGAAGCTGATGAGTATGTTCCGGCAGATGGAAGCATTTCGCGCGTGTTGGAAGCGCAAGGGCAATGACCAGCGGACTCAAACAAAGGACGCTTAGACTCGAAGAACGAGTCAACCTGATATTTACCCTGTACCATAGATGCCGCTATTGTAATCATATATGAAAAGCCTCTCTCCTTTCAAGCCGATATCTGCCAATTCAGACGACCTATTGACCATATATAAATCACGTGACATTATACAGACGCGACGTCAAGCTCCTCGCCGCATGAGAAGCTAACAACGAACCATCCTCAACCACACCATCACCATGGCTTCATCGCATATCCGCCGCTCTCTGCGGCTAGTAGAGACTACAAATTTTACAAAAGTTCCATCTACATTGACCTCCCGATCCACCACGCAGCACATCCTCGCCCTTACCAGATCAATCACCACCACCGCGTCCTACAAATCCGTCACCACCAACAACAACAACAACCAAGCTGCCCGGACAGCCCCCAAACCACCCATCCCATCTACATCAACCTTACCAGCAAAAGCATCCAATCCCTCATCAACCGCAGCCGCACCCGCAACGGACGACCGCACCGCCCGCATCCTCGCCCCAACTCCCGCCCACCAAACTACCACCAACATCTCCAAAACCGGCCTCGCAGACGCCCCGCTCTCACCGGACTCACCCCCGGAAGAAAAGATCGACTGGACGCGCTCCTTCCACGGGCTCTCCGCCGCGCCGTTTCCCAAGGAGGTAGCAGATATCCTGCTCGCGGAGGTCGACCCGGAGGAAGTCGAGATCAAGCCCGATGGTATCCTGTACCTCCCGGAGATCAAGTACAGACGGATTCTGAACCGGGCGTTTGGGCCAGGCGGGTGGGGGCTGGTGCCTCGGAGTGAGAGTATCGTTACGCCTCGCACAGTGACGAGGGAGTATGCGTTGGTTTGTAATGGGCGGTATGTATCCCTTTCCCTTTGTTTCCCTGCCCGATTGCGAGATAAAATAGGAAGTGGAGGTTTAATTACTGTTACAGGTTAGTGTCTGTCGCGCGGGGCGAGCAGGATTACTTCACGCCTGATGGGATCCCGACGGCGACGGAGGGGTGTCGGTCTAATGCGCTGGTGCGCTGCTGCAAGGATCTAGGGATTGCGAGCGAGCTGTGGGATCCGCGATGGATTCGCAAGTTCAAGGCGCAGTACACGAGGGAGGTGTTTGTGGAGCATGTTGTCAACAAGAAGCGGACGAAGATCTGGGTGCGCAAGGATGACCAGGTGTCGTATCCGTGGAAGGAGACCGGGACTAAGTAGTCAGACAGGACAGTACGGTCTGAGGTCTGTGACGGTGTCTGATACCGTCATATGTATATTAATTATGCCGAATAGAATTCTCGTTTACATTTCGAATTACTAGTTGATTGGCTAGTTGGGACGTAGATTTCACAGCCCAATATATGCATCAGGTCATCACCCATATTCCATCCCAATATAAAGATGAATCAAAATACCACCAACGCCATCCGTTTTGTTTTCAGTAACCTAACTATTGTCCTCCGTACGGCGGCCGAGACTGATTCCAGTTCCTAGAATGGTCGTCAGGGTGGCGCTGTTGCACCCCCGGCGAACCAGGGAACCTCCTGAACGAGTCAGAGTCTGATTGCTCTATCGCCGAAGGGAGTTCGAGCGGCTGCTCCGGATCGTACGCCGTCTCCTGGCTGTGAGATCCGTAGAAACTACCTCCGTAGTTTGACATGCTGGGATACGAGGGATACTCGGAAGGGAGCCCCTGTGATGTAGAGCCCGCCGGCGGCTGGTGGCGAGGAAGAGGGGGCACGGGCTCCGCGATGATGGGAACTCCGCCTGCTGTGGAGGAAGGCTGGGCAGGTTGCTCAGTGGTGCTGGCGCCTGCCTTGCGGCGGCCGGTGGATGGTTCACGGGCGAGATTGCCGTAGTTGACGCTGAGTTGGCGGTTCTGGTTAGGCGAGGCGGCGGGGGTCTGGTAGTTGTCCACTTCGTTCGGGGTACGACTGTTGGCGCGTTCCGGGTAGCCCGAGTCGGTAGATGTAGAGCCGCCGCGGCGTTGTAGCGTGCCGGATGACTGACTGGCGCTGAAGCCGGTTGATCGAGCCTGTTCCTGGGCGGTGGCATCCATGGTCATCCCGGCCGCTGCGGCGCGTCGCTGGCCGGATGCGGTCCGCGTGATATTGTTCTGGTCGGCGTTGTCGGCGTCGGGCTTGTCATCCTTGTTCTCGCTGTCGCCTGCAGCGTCTTCCGCGGCAGCACCAGGAGCGCGGATGGGAATCTTGCGCACAGCGGTAACCAACGCACACATGAATTTGGATCGGCGCATGGCACGGATCGACTCGTTAGACCAGTTGGATTTGTGGCGGATGCTGACGGTCAGCTCAAGCTTGTCCATGTCGCCGACACCAACAACATCAACGTCGACATCCGGCTGGAAATCACGGCAGTTCTCCTTGTCACGGACAAATCTCTCCATCTCATCGCGGAGGAGTTGGATGTCGGCAAAGGTGGTGTCGAAGCTGACGGGAATCGTGAGTATTTCGTGCATGGCGTGGGAACGCGTAAAGTTGTCAACCCAGAGAGTGTTGAGGACAACGTTGGGTACCTGGGTCACGCGCTGGTCCGTCACCGATTTGAAGACGGTATACAGCAGCGAAATGCGCTCGACTATGTAGTCCTTGTCGCTAATGTAGACCCGGTCACCAATGTCGAAGGGATGCTTGACGAACAGGAAAATGCACGAGCCCAGGACTTCCTGGGCGGTGGTCGCGAAAACGAAACTGAGAGACAGGAGGGATGTGGCGCCGGCCGCGATGACGGTGCCGAAACCGCTTGTCACAAACGAAATGAAGACCAGTATCGAGATGACACCGGCGACAGTCAGCAGCAAGTTGTCCAAGACATGAATGGCCTGGTCGACATCGTACATGCTGTTATTGAGGGCCTTTCGGTTACGTCCAATTTCCCCAACAACCAGAACCATCTCGTCCAGGCTGATATCACCGTTGCCGTCCCGATCGAGCATATGGAAACATTCCTCGGCGATCATCTCTTTGCCAACTCCCAAGACCTCGGCGACGTCGTCGGGGTATAGGGCATCCCTGCCCTCAATGACAAAAGACATCCAGATTCTGCGCGCCAAAGCTTCGGCGGCCTTGCGTCGCTCCAGGGCCTGTGTTACAATACCGCGCACCGAAGTGGGGTTGAACACTTCCTTGCCGGTGATTTCGTGGGCGACACCACCAAACGCAGCGGTAACTCTGTCACCAAAGCGGCCAACGTTATGACCAACATTGCGAATCAGCTTGAGGGGGATCGAGGAGCTGGAGCGCGAGTGGACCACACCCTTCGCGGTGGCTGCACCCAAGAGCGAATCGGAAATGGTCATGTCCTCCTCGCGAAACTCCTTGCAGTACATGGGAAACATGTTGCGGGAGGCGTCGTAAAGCTGACCGATAAGGTCAATGTGCCGCTTCGACTCCTTGATCTTGAAGTCGAATTGCTTTCGGTGGTAGCTGATGGAGATGAGTTGGACCAGGAATTTCTCCGCCAGCAGAATCAAGCTACAGACAAACAAAGCGAACAGGATATTCTTGACGGACTTCTCCCAGGCCTTGGTGGAAGTATCGCCTGTCCGCTGCTTCTCGGGGTTATATGTCATGACCGGAAGGAAAGTCACCAACGAGACGATGGTCCAGAAGACCGTCGCGATGGGCAGTTCTAGTGCGCGCAAAATGAGAGCATACTTGCGAGTTCCCGGGCTGACAATTCCACAGAGGAACTGAAACAGGTATGGGAGAAAATGAGCGATAATCTTGCAAATCCACAAACTCAGCCAGATAACCTCAATCCAGGCAAAGAACCAAGGCAGCGTCACGCCGCCAATTCTCGCATCCTGCGCAGCCGTGGCTCCCACAATGATTGGAATAGCGATCAAGAGCGCGATCGGCGTGACATAAATGAGGTACCTGGTAATGATAGAGAAGTTGAGGATGGCCTGGTAAATCCTCCCCATCCGCGTGAGGGTGCCATCCTCAGGGTCCTCGAGCGAACGGCCCGTCGAGTCGTCCATGGTTTTCTTTCGACGGCCAGGACCAGTGCCAGCGACCAACCCGGCCTTCTCGCTGGTGTTGGTGTGGACATCCTCGATGGGGGGCTGATAGGCCGCCGGAGAAGTGGCCGTGTGCGCACTCCCCCTCCGTGCCCCCGTCAGAGATCGACTGGGAACATTGGTCAGGGGAATATCAATCGTAACATCGTGTGGAGGGGCCATTATGGTATCATTTGAGTAATCCGGAAGCGGTTGAAAGCGATGAGCCGACAAACGCTTCTCCGTGAGTCCAGGTCGACCGGACATCGAAATGAACGAGAAGGAGAGAAAACGGGTCCAATGACCACGATTCCTCTGACTTTATACTTTCGACTGTTTGACACTAACCCGAGGGAAAAGCGAGCAACGGCCAAGAAGCTGACCTGCAGCCCTGACAAGGGAAATTGAGTGGGGCGAAGGCCAGAAACCAGTGCTAAAGTTTCGCGACAGGCCAAGTGAGCTACTAACACCCAAGATCGACTCGTCGATCCAGAGCAAAGCAATCTGATTTGGCGCGAGCCCGTTTGAATCTGCGCCGCCCAAGGATTGACCAAATACGTAGACTCGTCCAGAGGCAGACGGCGTGCGGGGACAGTGGAGTGGTGGGCCGAACCAAGCGAAGCAAGAAAGACGAGAAAAAGAAGAGAGTGTGCGATTGAGCGATTGGAAAGACAGACTGGAGTTAGTGGCCAGATGGAGAACGAGAGGTCAGTATGATCTAATGCGATGGAGATCAGATCGAAGAAAACGAAACGAAACAGACCGAGCGAAGGGAGAGATTCGATGGAGAAAAAGGAATGGAGGACAGAAGAAAAACGGGCCTGAGGCAATAACCATAGAATGGATGAGTCTAATAATAAAATATTTCACTAAAGCATCAACCACGGACACTGATAAAATTCTATTGGGGCACATGTTTCACCATTCCAGGAACAGGACGCCACCGATCAGTACCTAGTCG